TAATGAGCCATTGCAACAGGACAAACTTGTTGGAAAATTTCAGACAATTCAAATTCAAGCATAGGTTGAGTTGGCAAGAATTGATATACTATTTCGGGTAATTATATATACATCCTATTGAGTGACAATTCTTTTCATAAAATTCAATTTAGAGATAATTATAAATCTATATTTTTTTCATGGTATGTACATATTGCTTATAGTACTCAAGCTGTCATTATCAGTGTCTTACTCTCCTAGTCTAAACTCTAAAGTATTATAGTGAATGATAGACTATGTACATAAACAACCATTTAAATTACACTACAATGACAGGTATGTTCACATTTGAGTATAGAATAGTCAATTTGTGAGATATGGGTCATTTGGCTATTTTAGGATTAATAAAATGATTCATCTTCAGTATCATAATGTATTATATCTGGGCTAATGGATAGATAGCCTAATAGTTCAGTCATTGATGGGGTTGGTCTGCTAGTAGGAGAGTGTTCAAGTAAAGCTTGTGCAGCTTCCTGACTGACTGACCGCCATTTTGAAATCAACCCCTCCAACTGAGTCAAATCGTTCTACATGAAAATGAACGATGCTATAAATAAATTAAAAATTTGAAAACAGTATGTACATGTAAATGTGGCGTGCATCAGTATAAATTTAATTGTCTACAGTTATTATCATCATTACAATACTTTAAAGCCTGGCTACACTATACAGTAGTATAATTAGACAAAAGACTGACCTTTGTCCTATATAACTTGACCAAACGAAGCTTCTGCAATTTGTTCTCTTTCTCGTGGAGTTTACCCATCAACTGTTTCTTTTCTTTGCTTAGTTCTATCAAAGTCTCTTTAGAATGATCACCAGTACTTGTAGATGCAACAGAAGCATAAGTGCTTGTATCTGTTGTCTTAGGCTTTTTAGCTGATCGAGGAGGAATAAATTTCAAATGACTTCGTCTTTTCTGTTGTGATCTATTACTCTTATTTGATGATCCTACTATGTCCTCAGCTTGTTTCACCTAATAAAAGGGGCGTCTCAATGTAGCATGGAAATGATATAAAATTTAGGTTTTTTTCAGAGCAATTTTTGCTTGGCCAATGATGCTGTTTTTTGAAAGTAAAAATAAGGATCATTCTGATACATATTGCCTGACCCAAAATTTTGGAACTACATGCATGTATAAGCCCTTTTTAAATATTAAAAACGAGCCCATGATTTTTTTGTGAAAAATGGCTCTAAAATCACCCCAATTTTTATTCCATTTTCTGATAATATTGATGACCTTATGCTATGTATAAAAGTTTGAGTTGATTTCAATTGTAAATTTCAAGTTGTGGCCATTTTTACTCATCTCCAATTTGTATGATATCCTTAATAAATGTACATACTGTACAGCAACATTAATAGAAGTTACTTTGTATGTTTGGTAATTAATTAAAAAATTGAAATTGGCAGATTTTTTATTCGCAATTTAACAGCACATGTGCTCAGAATGAGACAAAAAAATATGTACATGTGTGAATAATTTATCTATAATTCAATGGTAATGCTAAGTTTGTTATGATGACTGGCATTTAATTTTAGCTTTAACAAAAAAAATGATATAACAAGTTACCTTCTTTTCTTGTGGATGACAAAGCCAATACAAATCACAAGACTGATCACCACTCGTTACTGTCCTCATATTA